TATTATGCAGAAAATTCGGAGTGTGGAAATTAGGAGAAGGTGTGGAGTTAATAAAAGCATTAGTCAGAGGGCAGAAGAGGGGTTGTTGAGGTGGTTTGGTCATTTAGAGAGAATGGATCAAAGTAGAATGACATGGAAAGCATATAAATCTATAGGGGAAGGAAAGAGGGGTAGGGTCGTCCTCGAAAGGGTTGGAAAGAGGGGGTAAAGGAGGTTTTGTGGGTAAGGGGCTTGGACTTCCAGCAAGCGTGCATGAGCGTGTTAGATAGGAGTGAATGGAGACGATGATACTTGGGACCTGACGATCTGTTGGAGTGTGAGCAGGGTAATATTTAGTGAAGGGATTCAGGGAAACCGGTTATTTTCATATAGTCGGACTTGAGTCCTGGAAATGGGAAGTACAATGCCTGCACTTTAAAGGAGGGGTTTGGGATATTGGCAGTTTGGAGGGATATGTTGTGTATCTCTATACGTATATGCTTCTAAACTGTTGTATTCTGAGCACCTCTGCAAAAGCAGTGATATGTGTGAGTGTTGAATGATGATGAAAGTATTTTCTTTTTGGGGATTTTCTTTCTTTTTTTTGGGTCACCCTGCCTCGGTGGGAGACGACCGACTTGTTGAATATATATATATATATTATATATATATATATATATATATATATATATATATATATATATATATATATATATATATTATATAATCAAACGTAGCTTATTGGTCGCATCAACTTAGTGGAGTCGTATTTAAGGATGTGAATTCCACTGACTGCAGCAAGTATGTGTGTGTTCTTGCTCTAATCCTAAAAGCAATTGTTAACAAAATGCATTTCAACGTGTCTAATTGGTGGCAGTTGTTGAAGGTATGTCATTAGTGGAAGATTAATAAGGTGGCAGAGCAGTTGTTGAAGGTCACAGGTAATTAGTCTGATTGTTAACTCTTATTTCCGTCCCTCGCTAATTCTACTGGGGTTTCATACAGGTGTTAAGGGAGAATACATGTGTATTATTTCTTTGTTAACGTTAGTTAACATGATATATATATATAATATATATATATATATATATATATATATATATATATATATATATATATATATATATATATATATATATATATATTATATATCTGGGCTTTGGGGTCTCTCAAGGCAGTGAAGCTGCAGCTCATGCGGCAAGGGCCTACATCAGGGACCTACTAGAAGACAAGGCCATAGTCAACTTGATTTAGAAATGCCTTTAATATGGTGAGGAGAGATGCTGTTTTGCCAGCTGTTCGGGTTCGGTTCCCCAGTCTCTTTCCCTTCATTTCAGCCGCTACAGCAAACCCTCAATTCTTTGTTTGGAGAACATGAAATTCAATCATCAGAGGGTGTTCAGCAGGGTGACCACTTGCTCCACTTCTCTTCTGCTTGGCAGTAAGAGAACTAACCTCCAGCCTACGCAGTGAGCTCAATATATGGTACCTGGATGACGGCACTCTGGCAGGTACTGAAGAGTCCCTCGTGGGGGACCTACAACTGGTGAAAACACAGGGAGAAGGCTTGGGACTCATCCTCAATCCCTCTAAGTGTGAAATCATCACAGCGAACCAGGAAATAATCAATGCTGTGCGAAGAATCCTCCCGGAAATCTCAACTACAACTCCGTCCAACAGTACCCTCTTGGGGCAACCGCTGGGTCACCAGGCCATCGATACTGTCCTCAGGGACAAATTGAATGACCTTATGAGAATGGAGGAGAGAATAAGCGATCTTGATGCCCATGATGCTCTGTATCTCCTCACAAGGTGTCTTACTATGCCAAGACTCACTTACTTCTTGAGGTGTGCACCCTCTTTTGACAACCCAACACTCGATGAATATGACGCACACCTGAGATCAACTTTTAAGAAGGCACTGAACCTGTCACTAGAGGATGAGCAATGGGATCAGGCAACCCTCCCAGTGCGACTGGGAGGTATAGGGGTGCGTAAAGCAACGCATGTTGCTTTACCTGCTTTTCTGTCTTCGTGTTTGGCTTCCAGTGCATTAGTCAAGAAGATAGTGCCCGAACGCTTGAGAGACTTGGTAGGAGCTCAAGACCCCAGGTTTACTGAAGCAGCAATTCGAGGGACACCCTTACAGACTCCTCCAGTAGACCAGCTCCTCCCAAACAGCACAAACAGTCCCACTGGGACAAACCGATCATGGAAAAAATCGCCAACACAATGCTCTCCAATGCTTCAGGAAAGAACAAAGCTCGTCTCCTGGCAGTGAAGGCACCACACTCAGGAGATTTCCTGTTAGCTGTTCCCAATTCCTCCCTGGGCACCCGTCTCGACCCACAGGCCATTCGGATTGGTGTTGCTCTTCGCCTAGCCGCCCCCATCCTCACTGAACGTAGGTGTATTTGCGGCAGGGCGACAGCTGATCAATTCGGACTCCATGGTCTCGTGTGTCACACAGCAGAAGGGAAGTATGCCAGACATGAGGAGATCAATGATCTCAACGGGAACCCCAAGTACAGAGGTCTGATGGAAGTCAAAAGCGTCCTGATGGAGCCACTATGCTACCCTGGAAGGATGGAAAGCAGATTGCCTGGGACTACACCTGTGCTGCCACATTGGCAGACACCTACTTGCCATACTCTGTAGGGGAAGGGGGTGGAGCTGCCAGCCACAGGGAGACCCAGAAGATCCGAAAATATGAAGACCTTCCCCCTTGCTATAACTTCATTCCAATAGGGTCGGAGACCCTTGGAGCATGGGGCAAGTGTGCTCTAAAGTTCCTCAAGAGCTGGGTGAAAAGCTCATCATAGAAACCAAGGACCACAGGGCGACCAGCTTCCTCTTTCAGAGACTCAGTGTTGCGATCCAGAGAGGAAATGCCTGCAGCATTCTGGGCACGCGGCCCACCGCAGGGAGCTGGACGAAGTATTCGAGATGTAGCTCTGAGTTACCTATGTTGTTTTACTTTGTATCATATTTTTTTGAATGTTTCGTCAATGTATTTTGTCTTTAAATAAATATATATATATATATATATATATATATATATATATATATATATATATATATATATATATATATATATATATATAATATATATATATATATTGTGCCCACGAACGAGTGGTATTGATCAATAACAATACTGCGACTAGCCAAGAACTCGGACCCATGCTGCTTTGGCATGCCTCATGGTTGGCGAAAACTCGTGACGCCTTAATCCACCGGACCATACAATCCTTAAGAGTAGCGCAACCAGAGGAACTGGATGTTGTACTCACTACCCAAGGACATACGATGGTGTGGATGACTCATCGTATAATATTATATATATATATATATATATATATATATATATAATATATATATATATATATATATATATATATATATATATATATATATGATCACAGTAAACAGGTGATATCACATTATCAAGGAATTTCCTTGATAATGTGGGAAATAGCGAATGCACTTGGAATTTCACTATTTTTTCAGTGGTTGTTTTACACACAACACACACACACATTATATAAATATATATATATATATATATATATATATATATATATATATATATATATTTTATATATTATATATTATATATATATATATATATATATATAATATATATATATATATATATATAATATATGTACTCGCCTATTTGTACTCGCCTATTTGTGGTTGCAGGGGTCGAGTCACAGCTCCTGGCCCCGCCTCTTCGCTGATTGCTACTAGGTCCTCTCTCTCCCTGCCCCATGAGCTCTATCATACCTCGCCTTAAAAACTATGTATGGTTCCTGCCTCCACCACATCACTTTCTAGGCTATTCCATGGCCTGACTACTCTATGACTGAAGAAATACTTCCTAACATCCCTTTGATTCATCTGAGTCTTCAACTTCCAATTGTGACCTCTTGTGTCTGTGTCCCATCTCTGGAACATCCCGTCTTTGTCCACCTCGTCTATTCCGCGCAGTATTTTATATGTCGTTATCATGTCTCCCCTCACCCTCCTGGCCTCCAGTGTCGTCAGGCCGATTTCCCTCAACCTTTCTTCATAGGAAATTCCCCGTAGCTCTGGGACTAGTCTTGTTGCAAACCTTTGCACTTTCTCTAATTTCTTGACGTGCTTGACTAGGTGTGGATTCCAAACTGGTGCTGCATACTCCAGTATGGGCCTGACGTAGATGGTGTACAGAGTCTTAAACGAATTCTTACTGAGGTATCGGAACGCTATCCGTAGGTTTGCCAGGCGCCCGTATGCTGCAGCAGTTATCTGATTGATGTGCGCCTCAGGAGATATGCTCGGTGTTATACTCACCCCCAGATCTTTTTCCTTTAGTGAGGTTTGCAGTCTTTGGCCATCTAAACTATATTGTGTCTGCGGTCTTCTTTGCCCTTCCCCAATCTTCATGACTTTGCATTTGGCAGGGTTAAATTCAAGGAGCCAGTTGCTGGACCAGGCTTGTAGCCTGTCCAGATCTCTTTGTAGTCCTGCCTGATCCTCGTCCGATTCGATTCTTCTCATTAACTTCACATCGTCTGCAAACAAGGACACTTCTGAGTCTATCCCTTCCGTTATGTCGTTCACGTATACCAAGAACAGCACAGGTCCTAGGACTGACCCCTGTGGAACCCCGCTTGTCACAGGCGCCCACTCTGACACCTCGTCGCGTACCATGTCTCATTGTTTCCTCCCTGTCAGATATTCTCTGATCCATTGCAGTGCCTTTCCTGTTATGTGTGTGTGTGTAGAACAACCACTGAAAAAATAGTGAAATTCCAAGTGCATTCGCTATTTCCCACATTATCAAGGAAATTCCTTGATAATGTGATATCACCTGTTTACTGTGATCATATTATATATATATATATATATATAATTATATATATATATATATATATATATATATATATATATATCATTATTCATAATATGCGATGTAGAATTGAGAGGTTGTGTCTTTGAACACTATGCTAAGGGTCTCATCCTTCCTCCTCCAGGTACAATGTGCAGTTCGGAGGCGGTCTGCCCGCACCAGTGCTTCCCGTCCGTAACAATCTCCGCCGCCCGGGTCCCGGTGCTGGGCCCCGAGGTGTCGGGGGCCCGTCCAGCAGCGGGGGAAGGGGCCCCGGCAGCCCCCGCTGCTCCTGGAGGTGCACTGCCATTATCTTCATCACCATCGCCGTGGTATTGGCCGCCATACTCATCTACATCGCAGGTGAGTACTTCTGTCACCAACAGACTGGTTGATCAAGATACCAAATCGGTGTCCTGGTCGAGGACCGGTCCGCCGTGATGACCACCTTAATCGGCCACCGGTAGGAAGGCTGTAAACCAAATGACCTGTGTAATAAAATGTTCATCCAATTCTCCGTAGACTTTAACGCCAGATGACCCGTATATTGATATGTACACCCTCTTATCCGTAGACTTTAGGTTGTGTATGTTTTACAAAGGCATTCCTGTACACGTTACGTTTTACACGTTACATTTAATACCTGCATAATTCTCGTTGAATATTTGAACGTTGGTGTTTGATGGTGCTGCTGTTGATCATAGGGATGGTAATTGCTTACATAGCGCATGTTCAACATTACTCTGCAAGTCTTTATGGTCCAGTGCAGATTAATGTTTGATGCATTTCACGCATAAGCTAAGTAGGGGGGGTAGGTGTTGGGTAAGGTGAAGAGACAGGTAATGGGTAAGGCGAGGAGACAGGTATTTAGTAAGGTGAGAGACAGGAGTTGGGTACACTACCTTTAGTAAGGCGACGAGATAGTTGTGGTATACCACACCACTAATGTGGTTTACCACAGCTACTACCACACCACTTCTAACACCACACCCCTATTACAACCACAACTACCACCATACCACTGCTGATACTACACAGTTATTAGAGTAACCACCCACACCTTGTACAATTAGCCCAGTACATCACTACGCGTTAGAGAGCAATGTCATCTAGCTGTGTACCCCTTGTCTGTAAGAATGAACGCCATCTACACCGCGACTCCTGACTATTTCCACCTTCTGATGTTAGGGACTTTTAACTTGTGGTGCCATCTATTGGTTTAAATGGAAAGTGTACGTTATATGACGGTGCTGTAAAAGGCACGGTGTGCTCTGCACAAAGCAAAATGTTGTTCAAGTAAAAGCTTGTGCCAAAGCGTTTATTTTTTCTTCGCGTGACAGTGCTGTTCATTTCCTGGAGATATAATTATATTTTCAACTCCCAAAGTTTGTTACCTCACTGTCATAACATCTGTGTAGTCCGAGAGGTTCCACGACCACTATTATTCCAGTGGCAAGTGATCATTTTATTATATTATTTTAGTATGGATAGTATTCTATCATGGATATTGTAATGTGGGTATTATTTTAATATCGACATTTTAATATTGATATTTTATTAATATTGATATTTAAATATCACTATTAAAATATCGACGTTAAAATAATAGCAATATTATTTTAATAGCGATATTTTAATATCAATATTAGTGTAATATTTGTATTTCATCGAGGTACTGAGTCACCAGAGTCTGTGTTGTTGCAGTAGTTGATGTATTGTTCCAGTGGTTGATGTGTTGTAGTGGTTGAGAAGAGTGTCATCATACGTAATGTCCAGAGTGATAGTTAAAACGTTTCAATAATAACATGGTTTCAGAGAGTTTGAGAGCTTCCAGCGTTGATGTTATTCCAGAGAGACAGATTTAAAAGCTTCGAGTGTGGATATTGTTCCAGAGAGACAGTTTGAGAGCTTCCAGCGTGGATAATGTTCCAGAGACGGTTTGAGAGCTTCCAGCATGGATATTGTTCCAGAGAGACAGTTTGAGAGTTTCCAGCGTGGATATTGTTCCAGAGAGACAGTTTGAGAGCTTTCAGCGTGGGTATTGTTCAAGAGAGACAGTTTGAGAGCTTTCAGCGTGGATATTGTTCCAGAGAGACAGTTTGAGAGCTTCCAGCGTGGATATTGCCCCAAGACGCATAACGTAATCCAGAGGCGGAGTGAAGCGAACATTTAGATTCTAATAGTGCCGTCAGCGAGCCGCGGCCAGACTCCTTGGAAGAAATAACTTGAGCCATGTGGAGTGGGAAGAGCATGGAGGAAGAGGAGGAGGAAGCAGCCTAGAAGAGAAGGAAGAATGAATGAAGAGGTTGAAGGAGAAAGAGTGAGTCAGTGTTCTGTGAAGATCCAGATCTTACTTTGATGAGTTGCTAGTTTTTCTACTCTCGGAGCCGGGTCATGGGGCAGGCTTGTCTACATGTGCTTGCCTGGTCATCCATGTTTTTGTTGTTGGTGGCTCGCAGAGCCACATATCCATCACAGTTTGGTTGATATGGCACCTTCTCCAACATTCTTCCTACCTTCTCTTGTTCCTCTCCATCTCTCTACTTCCCTTCACTCTCCATCCTCCTCCACCTCCTTCCTTCCCGTCTCCTTCCCACTTCTTGAAACTTAATCCGGCACTTGTTACTCTTACGACCTCGTGTGACAATGATTATTATTTTACCGGTTTTATAAACCACAGAAAGATTGTGTGTGTGTGTGTATTAAGAACGTGTTTGAAATGCGAGGCACAGGAGCATAGGTGTAGAACCCTGGGCAACATGATTTTCAAGTCCAGAGCAGCACAGGTTTGGGTTTTAAAACCTAGGACAGTACGAGTTTAAAACCCAGGGCAGCATAAGTTTAGAGCGTTATGACGGTCTTGAATGCACAGCTCTCTAAGTACGGTTCTGTATGTACGTACTTGCCCTCCCAACACACACACACACACACACACACACACACACACTCTTTCATTGCCTTTCCTCGTGTTCGTATTTTTTACCGTTTTCTTTGTAGTTTCTCGTCAATACGCGCGTCGTGATGACGTAAGTATTGCTCTTTCCCACCCAGTACATCCCTCACAGCACATCCCTCACAGCGCATCCCTCACAGCACATCCCTCCCAGCACATCCCTCCCAGCACATCCCTCCCAGTAGCGAGGTCTCTAAACTTGACCAGCCCAGTTGTTAGTGCCTGCAGCTTGCATTCCAGGTGCTGGCACCACAGCCTGGTTATTTGGAGGTTTTCTGAAATGATTAAGCTCCCTGTAGATGTTTGAGGGTGTGGAACAAATGACTCTCAGGGGGATGCCTTTGTTGACCACAGCGTTTCAACACTGGGTGGGGGAAACGTAGTAAATGTATCCACTGTATTATTGACTTTACATTGTCATCTTTTTCCCACTGTGTGTGTGTGTGTGTGTGTGTGTGTGTACTCTCCTATTTGTGGTTGCAGGGGTCGATTTACAGCTCCTGGTCCCCGCCTCTTCGCTCCAAGAGCTTTATCGTACCTGTGTGTGTGTGTGTGTATACTGGCCTATATATGGTGACAGGGGTGGAGTCAGCTCCTGCGTGCATGCGTTCTTGCGCGTTCCTACGGGTTCATCATGCTATTTAAGTCATGCCTGGCGGATCAGTGGTGGACGCCAGATCATTGCTCCCGATCAACAACATTCGACAAAAACACCACACTGTAGTACTCGTTGCGCTCTAGGTGTAGTGCCGGATTTCCCAACCTTTTTCTATGTCCCGCACCCCTACGAAATGTTTGGTTAATGTTGCACATCTCTAGTAAAGTAATATCACACTTGAAAATGAAGTCAGATTTCAATTTTTTTTTAATTAACCGAACTGAACCAAATACAGACTTGTGCTTTTCATTATGACTCTCACCCCCATAGGGTGCGAGATGGCAGGGATGACCAAGGGTCAAAACTCCCAGGTTGGAATCCCCTGATGTAGAGAAAGAAGACCGTGGGAGGGAGGAAAGAAAAAAATGTTGTTTTTTAGAGTTGGTGCGGTCGTAAATGCGGAGACATCAGTGAAAACGGATGATTTATAGCCTAATTTTCTGTTAGCGAGAGAAGTAAGCATTGAGTTGTGGACTCGACTTTTGCCTTTATGTGATCTTAAGTAGTGTGATTGAAATATCCAGGACTGTGGTTGGGTTTTATGACCGGTATTTAATGATGGATTTGAAGGAAATTGTGCCCGATTAAAAACACGAAATAAGTGTGCTTGCAAGTTTGTGTTGGCTGCGGTCGAGTCTCGGTTTTGTGGACCAGTTTCTTAACCTCCGTCGCCTAGTATCATTGTGTACGCTTTCCATATATAATATGTTTCACTTTTTTGTTGCCCTGTGGCATGTGTACAGTCTGCCCTGCTGATGGTCAGTTCAACCAGCTCAACGTAAGACAAAAGCAGTGTTAACCTCCTCGTGAAGCATCAACATTTACAGGTCCCATATGTCTATCTTCTTAAGTTTCCCGTCACAGTCTGGTTCATCCGGCACTTGGCGGAGGAAATTATCTAGATTCCTCTGGTAGACTTCCACACTTGTCCATCAGTGTTTCTGATATCTTCTGGCAAGACGTTAAAGTCTAGGGCTGCGGATGTTCATATATTGTACCCACGGCGCCCTTTTTTCACTGGATTTATTCTACACGTTCTCCCATAGCTCTCACTGCATTATGTTGTTATGGCGGTGTGTAGGTTTGAGACCAGACTCTCAAGCATTCTCTACGTATATATTACCACGCATTTCTCCTCTTCTTAGTCGAGTACATGTTTAAAACTGAGGCGTGCCGTCATGACACCTGCCTTATTGTATTCTGTGAAAGAAATGTCAGCCGACATTATCACACGCAGGTCCTGCAAGTGTTGTTTTCATTCTCTTTGGTGTTCATCTTGTGTTTTATATGCAGTGTCCCTTTTGAGTTCTTTATTCTTTCCATATCTAAGTAGAATGAACATTAAAATGGTATAAAATACCGACAGATTGTTAGGTAAGACACATATTGTTTCAGACAACGGAACAATGCTCTTCTCCAGACTGAGGGACTGACCACCTCAAAACTTTAAGGGTGATGGACTGATTACATCGTCTTCAAGTATCTTCTGCTTCTATCAACTTTTCTGTACTCGACTGAAGAAGCCTACTGTGTAGGCGAAACGTTTCAAAATAAAGATACCTACTGTTGCATATGTGTCTTACCTAACATATCTAAGTAGCTAGAACTGATCACCTTTCAGTCCTGTTATTTTCCATTTCCCACTGAGAGACTTTGGTTATATGTAAAACACACACACACACACAGACATGGGTCCGTGGGGTGCAGACGTGGGTAACAAGGCTCCGAGAACCTTAGCATTGAAAGGCGTGC